ACCAATTAGTGACTAAAATGGATAACTCTGTACTTGATAACTGTTTTGTAATATGTTCCCTTGGGTCTTGAGTTTGCATATGTTTTGCAAAGTACAGGCAGCAGATTAGAAAAACCTTGTGTTATTTTCTAAATCAAGGCTAATAAAGATAGAGGAAGGAGCAGAATAACAGTATTAATTGTATCCAGCAAAATGATTCCATGAATGGTCCCCAGAAATAATCAAAGCCAGTTAATTCAATCAATATTAAGCACCTTTTATGGGCAGAGATGTGTGGTAGGTGCTAGGGGAGATAGAAGGATGAATAAGCATGGCATGTCTCACAGAACTTACACTAAAATTTTCTTTTCTTATCTCCTCCTAATATAATACCCCTGGAAAAGTAAATTTCAGTCATCCCATGCCAGGAAATTCTGAAGCTGGGGATTCTTAGGCTCTACAAATCCCCACCTATCACAGACCAGAAGAAATGGTTGGTAAATAGGTAAATGTGGTAAATACCTGGAATAGGATACCACAGTGATCATAGTTAAAAGTACTTGCTTATTGGGGTAAGAACATTTCCTTCTCACAGCCCTTTTCATAATTAATTGTATCTAATTTTAAATTATAAATGATTATTCACAATGCCCACAAATATGGACTCGGTTACCCCAGTGGACTTACCAAGTGTGGACTATTAAAGACTTCATACTCTGCTCTGCTGATGATCCCTTTTGGGGAGCCTAAGTATTATCTAATAGTCTTCAACAGCTTAGCTCCTCTGCTTCCACAACCTGTGTAGCTATCTTTAGGGATGATCAGTTTTATAGAGGCACATGTCTAGACTAATAAATTAAATTTGCATTCAATTAATAGTGTAAGTGGGTTTTTTCCCCTATTATCTAGGATGCAGACAGAAACTTGGAAAAGGACTGTGCTTTCAGAACCTACAAATACAAATTCCATAGTAATATGTGAAAGTATATTTAGATGTCAGTTCTGTTATTTCCAATGTGGGAAATTTAAGCTTCTCTGATAATAATGATCCAAAAATAGCACTTTTATTCAAAAATGCACTGTCTAGTACCAAATCCAAATCCAAATATAATGAAAGTACATCTGAATTCCTGTGGCTGAAGTCCTCAAACCTGTTATGTCTCCTATGGACCATGCAGGAGCCATAGGATATGTCTTTGTGCTGTCCCTGGGACTGGTTGTTCACAGCCAGTAGCTATCAGGTGTTTGAGAATCAGACTCTAGAATCCTAGGGCTAAAGGATACTTTTAAAGGCCACTTCATTTTCTTCCAAGATGGATCACACTTAAGCCATCACCGAACAATAAATAATTATTCTACAGTGAGTGACCTCCTCAGGAGATTTTAACACATTCCTTAATTATTACTCATTTCTATTTTAAATCCTGCCACCCTCCAGATATAGTGCAAAATGAAAAATAGTTGGTCACCATCTTCTGCAATTGAGAATCAGAAATAAAACACCATTTACTTCTTTCTAAGTTAAATAAATCCCAGGATTTTTTATCCTTGTACTCTATACATACAAACATACATACACATATATATACTATATATCCTCTATGCTTTTAATCATCTTTATAGATCTCTTAAATCTTTTTGTATGCCTCTCAAAGGAGCAGAATCAAGAGAAATGCCCTTGACAATTTATCTGATTGACTTGACTTATTCTTGATCTCATTGATTTCTGGGAAATCAGTGGGTCAGAATCTAATATACACATAGCATTTGCATATAATCCAAGGATTTTTTCATGCTCAGCCTGAAAATTAAAATTTTACTAGATAGGCACTTAACTTTGGATAAAATTAGATTGAACCCCAACCAATTAATGTAGAATTTTGATACTACCTTCAAGGCAAGGATACATTAGGTTTTCACCACAGGCTAAAAGTAATGAATAATGGAAACTGTAGACCCCTCCCCAAACCATTTTGAACCCCAACACCTGAGAATGGTCTAAAACCTGGATTGGCCAATCAAGAGAGACATTTCGGCCCACTCTGGCCTTAATTTACCATAATGCTTTGTGTTCCCTGGACATGCAATTTGTTTGTTCTCTGAGTGAATTCAAAATGCCCCTTCCTGTGTCAGTAACTACAGGACCAGATGACGCTGACCAGCATTCTTCTGTGTATGGTCACCAAGGACAGGGAATGGACAGTCTCGAATAGTAGGACTTTTCTTATCTTAGTGTTTTGTGGACATACACTGTTATGTCATGTTAATGGTAAAAGTAACAGATATTCTGGATCTATAATTTCAATTGACACTTTGACAATCTCATATCTTATTGTATTTACAACCTATTCACTTAAGAAATTCCTTTCTCATATCATGGTTAAACATTTGGAGACCATAATTTTGGCTGACATAGGCATCCTGAGCCAGGAAGGGAGGGAGAAGAAAGAGGGAATTGCTCTGAACATATGAAAATCCTCTTTGTCCATCCTTGCATTCATTGTCTTCTGATAAGCTCCCACGTGTATCTCTATATACATGTTTTGCAAGCTTTCAGAGAAGTAAACATTCATATTGCAGCCTAATTTCATTTGTCTTTCTAAGAATGAATTCAGTAAAGTTTGACAAAGCTTAAATTATTTCAGCAGGGGGGAAAATGGCCTCTTAAAGAAGAAATCTGCTCACAAAATGTTCTAAACAAAGTTGAATCACAACTAAACCTGTGGTTTAGAAACTATAAATATGTCAGAACTACAATCCTAACATGACAGTGAATTAAAAGAAAATTTAATATGATAAATATGGATTGTCACCAGTGTTTTGATTTATAATGTCCTAGGGTAAAAAGTAACCTAAAATTGTATTTTCTCTCCACTGTCCTGCAATTTGATACTCAGGATGAGATAGCAAGTTCCTCACCTTTGAAGTTTATAAATGTAATTAGTTAACAAGCACTTCCCATCTTTATATTAGGCTTTATTCAATAAGAAAATAGCAGACAAAACAGGAAGTTTTCTTTAGTGGAAAAGATGCTAGCTCTGGAGTTAGAAGACTTGGGTTCAAATCTTGCCTCTGATGCTTACTATTTACCATGACCTGTAGTATGACCCCCAAAGCCCTAGTTTCTTCATCTTAAAATGAAGGGTTGGACTAAGTAACTTCCAATATCCCTTCTAGTTTAAGATCTGTGATCCGATGATATGTTTGAAGGATGGCAGATGGTAGTGTTGAGGTTCAGGGAATCAAACGTTGAGGTATAGAATTTTAGGGATACTGGGACCCCGAAATAGCAACATGCGGGTCCTGCCTGAATGAAATCTACCCAAGCCTTCTTTCAGCCAAAGACACAGTTTATTAGAACATTGACTGGGGGTGGGTGAGATTTAAAGAATCTGCCATATTGGCCAGACTCTTAAGGAATCTAAGCATTTGTATCACTAATGCAAGCAGGCCACATGTTAAGAATCTGAGCACCTTAATCAAGGCCAGATGGAACTTATATGAAGAAACATTGTGGGAGGGATCTAGGAGTAGCCAAGTAGTCTGGGGTGACTGGAGGAAGGGTCTAAGGAGGATCTGGATGGGAGAGGCCAATAAACGGGGGTGATTGTGAGATAACTGAACACCAGGGACCTGGACCACTTGACCAAGGGAGAATGGAACCTAGATAGGTTTAAGGGTGGGAAGTGGCCAGGGGCCATAGGGAGGTAAAACAATGGAGGGCTAGGCTAAGTAACAGAGAAAAGGGTAATAGAGAATTGGGAGATTGGGAAAAGGCTGTAAAGAAAGGCTGGTTGATAGGATTATAGCCTCAGGCGAATGCCAGAGATTTGGCAACAGTGGGAAAGTCCAGGGCTTTTCCTTTTTGGGGTCCAGATTCCAAAGACATGGTCTTTTTCTTTTAGGGGTTCAGATCCCATCCCCATGAAAAATATGTTTAAAAGAATGTATATGTAGACCTTAGATTGCACGCCGTCTTGGGGAGGGTCGAGGGAAGGGAGGTGGGGAAAATTTAAAACTCAAAAGTTTATAGAAGCGAATGTTGAAAACTAAAAAAATTTTTTTTAAAAATCATGTGATAAAGCTATTACTGAACCAACAAGCTAATAAAAAGTGGGCAGTGAGTAGTTTCAGCAAAGCTCTAAGTACATATTAGAGTCAAAAGATAAGTTATCACTCATCAAACCTATAATGTACCTGGGAAAAAATATGAGGTGCAAGATCCCTCTTCAGTGGAGCAGTGACAACTTTTTTTTCAATTAATGGCAACCATTAAACTACATGCAGCCTCCAAAATTCTTATCCTAAATCGACAGTCTTTTAGAATTATAGTATTCTGTTATTTCACAGAATAGGAAAAAAAATACAAAATGATGTGTATTTGGAGCATGGAGTAATCCTTAGCCACCAATGTGTCCCAGAGACAATTTGAAGGTGCGTTAACACTTCAACTTGGGGGCAGTGGGAATAAAATTGCGTCCACCAGGGATTGTAGGGAGCATGTCAGGTAAACTTTACAGAGGAGATGACACCTGAGCCTTGAAGGAAAAGAAGGAATTCGAAAAGCTAAGTAGCTGCAGGAATATGGCTCAGGCATAGAGGATAGGGTGGGAGTAAAGACTTCAGCAAAAGCCCGGAGTCTAAATGTAGCGAGGCTAGATGGCTCCTCTTTGAACAGCTAGTTTACTGGAATGTAGGGGGTGGGAAGTGATGAGGCCGGAAAGACAGGTGGGAGGGGGGCGTGTATGGCTGCACATTTGGGGCTGCAATCTCGTGGCTGCTGTGCTTTCCTCTGAGACGACGTTGCAAACACCGCCTGTCCTTTGCGCGGCGGCAGACGTTTACGTGGTGTTTCCCGCCTTAGACTGAGCTTTCATCTACTCTGCATGCGCTGATTTATGTGTCTCTTGTCTCCTCCGTTACAATGTGAGCTCCTAGAGGACAGGAACTGTTTTTTTGGTTTGGGTTTTTTTTTTGGGGGGGGTCTTTTTGTTTTTGTTTTTGTCTCCCCAGTGTTTGGCAGTGTGTAAAAACTCCTGTTGACCGAGGGGCTGACTGACAGACTGACAGAAGACACGTCACCCACCAGCAAACTTCCCAAATTCCATCTACTAACTTACAACTCGCGAGATCTGAGAGGAGGAAGGCCGGGGGAGCCCGATGCCTGGCCCCGCCTCTCCACACCTGAGGTGGGCTACGGGACAGCCGGCAGAGATGTGATGTCACGTGGACTCTCCTCACGTGACCGATCGCCAAAGTCCAGCATGGCGGCCTCCATAGGTCGTTGGCATCACGCTTTCCTGGTGCTTTTGAGCTGGCTCCTGGCGGCGCCCCAGAGTCTTGGGTTGAATACAGGGTGAGTGCCGTTACCCTGGGGGGAAGGGAGGGACCGGGATCTTGAATTTGCCCCTTGGGGACAAAAGTGGGTCTTGGCCCTGCTTCCGCGTCGCGTCTGCCCGCTTCTCTAGCGCTCGGTCCCCTCCCACCCCTGCCTCTCACCCACAGCTTCTCTTCTCTTCTCCAACGGGGCTTTGTCCGCGGGCTTCCCGTCCCCCCCCCCAGGCACGTTCTGCCTGCCCCAGGCCCCTCTTGTGACACCGTCCTGTCCCCCCAGGGATTCCCTGAATGATGACTTGTTGCTTCCCTACTCCGGGATTCGGACGCGCCTTCCTCGGGACTGCCGGCCAGTCCGAAACGGGACCCGTCCTCATGAGAGCTGGCCACCGCCTGCCACGGTTCGCCCCAATCCGGGGCCCATAGTCCGTCACTTTGTCTCCTACTTCCCGGATTCTAGAAACGGCTCCCACAGGGCAGTGTCTGGCCACCTGACTGTAGCTGTATCGCCCCTGCATAGCTTCTCAGTACTAGAGCCCGGGGGACCCGGGGGCTGCGCTGCCAGGAGACTGGTGACAGTAGAGGAGACCGCCAGGGTGGCTGGCTGCATAGTGGCCCAAAATGGTGGCTTCTTCCGTATGGACACAGGAGAATGCCTAGGGAATGTAGTGAGCAACGGGGATCAAGTGAGCAGCTCTGGGGGGCTGCAGAATGCCCAGTTCGGAATCCGCCAGGATGGGACGTTGGTCACAGGGTGAGGGCACAGGGAACTGGGCCTAAGGGGTGGCAGGCTTCACTTGGAGGTAGAGGGACCCCACTTTGTTTGGGGACAGAAGTAAACTAGGGCAAATAAATCCCTCCTGAAAAGGAGGACAGAGACTGATTATGGCATCCCTAAGGTCACACCCTGCCTGCCTCCTACCCCCAAGATGTCTTTATCCTCACCCAATGTAGAGACAGAATATGGCATCAGAGAGCTTCAGGCTATGGCTGCTGTGTTGTACCCATTCCCTCTATATCTTGTCTGCAAAGGCAGAGACCAGTCTACTTCCCTAAAGCTGAAGGATAGCACTGGCAGCCTGAACTGGGGTTGTGATCCCATCCAAGAGTTATTCCTCTTGAGTAGTTGCTTTGGTTGGTGGAGAGAGCCTTTACTCTTCCACTGTGGTGGTGGGGGCTGTTCCAGGTACCTGTCTGACGAGGAGGTGCTAGACACAAAGAATCCATTTGTACAGCTGGTGAGTGGGGTTGTGTGGCTGCTGAGAGATGGACGTATCTACATTAATGAAAGTGAAGAGACTGAATGTGACAAGACACAGGAAACAGGTGGGGTTTTGGAGGGGAAATTACCTTCAACTGGGGACCTGGCAAAGGGAAAAAAAAATAGTTGAACATACAGATGCTTTCCCATGCAGGCTCATTTAGCAAGTTTGTGAATGTGATATCAGCTCGGACAGCTGTGGGACATGACAGAGAGGGCCGACTGGTAATGTTCCAGGCAGATGGACAGACCCAGCAACGAGGGTAAGCAGGATCCTGGGAGTGGTAGGAGTCTGGTTGCCTAGGGGTTTTGCTTGCCCACATCTCCATGGTTGGAGAGATTGTCCTTCCTCAACCTCATTCACAGCCAAAACCATAGCTCCTTTGTATAACTATGTTCTTGTCCTTGGGGCTACCAAAAGGTCACTCTGAAACATCTAGTTCTCTTCCAAAGGGTTAGTCTTTCCCGGGGAACAGGACCCGTAAACCCTTGTCTATCTCTACTCTACCCCCCACATTTCCAAAGAATGATTCCTTCATTTTCTCCCTTTTTGCACCTCTGGGCCTCATGCTATAGCATTAACCTATGGGAGATGGCCAGGTTCCTAATGGAGCATGGAGTGGTGAATGCAATTAACCTGGATGGTGGAGGTTCAGCCACATTTGTTGTCAATGGAACCTTGGCGAATTACCCATCGGATCACTGGTGAGCAGGCAAGAGATCCTAGCTTCTTATTGACTCCAGCACAGATCAGTTTATGTCCTCTAGGCTCCACTGAATGATGTTTCCTAAACAAGAGTCCTTTGCTTTGGAACTGGGACAAACTTATTTTGAGAATTCCATAGCTGAGCCTGGACAATCAATCTAAGAGTAGTACTGCTGCAGGGGTTTGGGCTATGGAGGTCTGATGAGGCTTTCTTTTCCCCCTGCTGCCAAGAATTAGCCAAAAATTGCTGTGGTGAGGAGACATGTCCCAAATAAAGGGGTTACTTCTCTGAATTCTGTGACCCTGTTTCATGGGATTCCTCTTCTCTCCAGCAAGGATGATAACATGTGGCGCTGTCCCCGCCGTATCTCTACAGTCGTATGTGTGCATGAGCCACGCTGCAATCCACCGGACTGCAATGGTCATGGGACCTGTGTGCAGGGAATCTGCCATTGTACTGGGGACTTCTGGGGGGGAGATGACTGCAGCATACTGGACTGTGGCCCCTCCAACTGTAGCCTAAATGGGCTCTGCACTGAGAGTAAGTGGCATGAGTAGGGAAGGCAGTCCTCTGGGAGGCACCTGTCTCTCCTACCCTGAAGTTCAGAAAGCAAAACTGTGAGGGAAAGGCAGTCACAGCGATGCCTACAGGTACCCACTCTGACCCCCCACTGTCCTCTGCTTCTCACTGAACCTTCCTACAGTTCAGGGATTGTGAGGCTCTAAATCTGGTCTTATGTAAGTCAGAGCCTACTAGCTTCTGTGATTGACAATTTTGTCTTGTTTCTCTAGCTGGATGCCTCTGTGATGCTGGATGGACAGGCAATACCTGCAGTCAAGGTAACAGCAACCGCACCAACTCAGCCCATCCCTTTATCCAGGATAGCTATAGTGGTGATCCTCAGTCAGCTTCATGGATTTCAGGGAAATGTTGCCCATATAATCTAGCCCTGGGGCATGGGGACAGTGCAGCAGCTGCCTTTGGGGGAAATTCAGGGGGAGAATATCTGCTCCTCCTCCACCCATACTGGGCTGCCTTAGGCTCAAACTAGCCTGTCCCTGAGCATCCTGCAGTAAGCAAGCCTGGGCATTGGCAGTCTGGGCTCACACAAAGGCATTCCTTGACTTACTCTCTTCCCTAGCATGTGCCAATGGCAGCTTTGGGGTCAGTTGTGCTCAGAAGTGCCAGTGCCAGAATGGAGCTGCTTGTGACCCTGTTCATGGGACCTGTACCTGCCCTCCTGGCTTCCAAGGAGATACCTGTGCTGAGGGTAAGGAAGGACTGCAACTTCAAACCTCTTGAAGCAAGGGGAATTGCCTAGAACTTAGAAGAAGAGAACAGGGAAACCCCAAGAGATACAGTGGTGACAGTACCAGAAAATCTCTTACTTAAGCCTTCTAAGAGACTGCTAAAAATTGATTTAAAGAAATGAAGATGGAATGTGCTAATACCTAGCTCCATTCATTTCTGCCTAATCTTCACTCTCCACCCTCATCTCCACATAGCAATAGTAGAAGCCTAGAGTATTCCTCTTAGCCCTGTCGTTTACTGACTTGGAGAATAAAGGAAGCAGGTTGGGATACTAATATGAAGAAAGGTGGGTCTCTGTGCTGTGGCCTTTACTCTCTTCTTCCCTCTCTTCAGTGTGTCCTTTAGGTTGGTATGGCCCAAGTTGCCAGCATACTTGCACGTGTGAGAGCTCGTGTCCCTGTGACCCCAAGACTGGCAGCTGCAACCTCACCTCCACTGTGCGGGACATCCTCTCCCAAGGTACAGCTTTCTTTAGAGAGTTGGAGGGTGGGGTAATGAGGGAGGGAAGCCCATTCTCCCCACACTTCTCAACTTCTCTTTGGGGATGGGCGATATTTTGCAGTTGGCCAGTGTCTTGCACCTTCCATGGTACCTAAAAGGAATGAAGAACACCTCTACTTCACAAAGTAGGTTGGCTTCTATTTGCTTTTTAACACTGGGTCTCCATATCTTGCCAAGTCTGGAGTACTGGGACCACTGCAGTTGGCACAGGACTTTGGCTTGCTCCATTTACAACTTGGAACTGGTTCACCCCTCCGTAGGCAATATAGGGGCCCCCTGCCCTCAGGGGCTCACCATAGCAATGTTGAACTTAGAGAGGACACCTGATTGGCTTAGAACTCTGAAGCTCAAGAGCTCTGTCAGCCTCAGCCTTCCTGGTGGCTGGAAATACAGGTCTGTACCACCACACCTAGAAAGTGGATTGGCTTGTAGAGGCAGCTAGTGTGTAGTAGACAGAAAAGCTTTCCTGTCAGCATGACCTAGTTTCAAGTCTGGCCTCTTTCATGTATTATCTCTGTACTTCTGGGCAGGGCACCCAGGCAAGTAGTAGTAGAATAAATGCTGATCTACATTGGTGGAGGGCATTTTCTTACTGTGAGTTCCCTATGTAGATGAAATCACAGGTCTGATTAAAAAAGAGTTTACTTTTGTCAAGGCAGTGGGAGAGTGTGCTCCTTCTCTGCTAATTCCCAGGCCTGGAAGTGCAGGGTGGTTGGAGCTGTGCACCACTGGGATCTCTAAGGAGGGTGGGGAGGAAGGAAAAGGAAGGTCTCAGAGGTTGTATGTTCCTTCTGACTCCTGGCCAAGAGCAGTCAGTTCCTTCCCAGTGGAATGCCACCAGGCCTGGGTGCAGGAGTCAGTGATGCTTCATCAAGGCTTCTCTTCAGAATCCAGGCAAGAGCCCATGAGAATACGACACTGGAAAGAGGCACAGACCTGCAGGCAATGCCATGAGGTCTACTGATGACCCAGAGTCCTGGGCTCACAGATTGTAGGATACCTCCATTCAACTCTTTAAAATGAAAAGACTAGGTGGGGGCTGACTGTTTAAAGTGGGAGGCATCAGTTTCCAAATTCCCTGGTGCATAGAACCTGACAAGCCTGACTTAGGAAGGGCTGGGCCTAAAAGCGTTGTCTTGTTAAGCATTGTAGGGAAACAGGTTCCCTCCTTCGGAGGGGGAAATTTGTAATTCCCTATCTGTCCTGTCTGACTTACAGACACAGGAGGCAAAGTTGAACCCCGAGGCTATGAGGAAAGCCTACCCTCTGTTTATTTTCACACTCAGGAGGAGACAAATAAAATGAAGGAAGGGAGAGGAGCTACTGTAACCATTCTCTTGATCTCTCTTTTTTCCCTTAGGACAGCCTGGCTGTCTCTCACGTTGGCCCTGGCTCTCTTGCTGTTCTTCAGCGCTGCTGCTAATGTGACTTTTGTCCTTGGCTCCAGAGCATCCAGGAGGCGCCTGGATGGAGAGTATGCCTACCATCCATTGCAGGAAATGAATGGGGAACTGCATTCCTTAGAGAAGGAGCAACAAGGAGACCCGCCCTCAGTATTAAGGACTCAGAACAATGAGAAGTGGCCATTTGTCCTGGAAATTCAGTTCTGCTTGTGGATTTTTCCAGGGAGAGCTGGTGTGGAGGAAACCTTGCTGAGACAGAAAATGAGAACCATATGAGGACTGCATACCAAGATTTTACTTTGAAGCCCCATCCTGACCACTCTGCTTGGTCAGAGGAGCTGGGAAACCTGTGCCTCAGTCTCCTAACCTGCCTGCCTGCCTGCCCATTACGTGCCATGCTGCACCACAGCCCTCAGCCAGAGCAATAGTCCACTCCCAGATAAAGCTCTACCTCTCAGGGCAGGGCCTCTGACCTCTTCCCCCTGCCTGTCTGTGTCTGCTTGTCCAGTGAGATGCCCATGTCCTCTGTGGGGATATAGTGGTGCCAAAGGGACTTCAGCTATGCTGGGGAAAAGAGCAGCTGGAGAACTATTCTCATCATGATTTGAATCATGGTGAAACAATATAATTTGTTCCTAAAGTCCTACCTATGGATAGAAAGGACAGCCATCCTGCAAGGGCTAATGGGAAATTTGCAAATCTCAGCCTTTCTATAATTTATTCATTCCTGTGGGATAATTGAGGCCATAATAGGTCACTTTTATATAGACCACTTTTTTATGCTAATTTAAAGTTCTGACCCCTGTGGTCGGTTGCTTTTTTGAAGACAAAGAGAATGGGGAGAATGAAATCGGTATTTTTACATGACAAGCTATTTTGTCCTTTCTTTCACTGATTACTATTGAATTAAATTAATTAATTATTAATATTGAATAAATTGAAGAATGAAAGGAGCCAATGGTATATTTTCTCATTCCTCAACTTCAGTTCCTACACTGATGCCTTCAGACAGTAAGTACCAGGGGTAGGGAACCTGTGGCCTTCTAGGTTTTCTTCTGACTGAATCCAGGCTTTACAGAACAAATCTTTTTATTAAGGGATTTGTTCTGTATGGTTCGGATTCAGTCAAAGGGCCACACTTGAAAACCCAGAGGGCCACATGTGTCCTCAAGGCAGCAGGTTCCCCACCCCAGATATAGACCTTAAGCAAAAACTGATAGACACTGTTCTGCTTGTAATGGGATGGGGTACAGAGCATGTTGACAGGTCTTATTAATTTCTGCAGTTTTATATATGGCCCTCTTATTACCCTTACTCATAAGCATGTCTCCCTGATGTCACAATAATAATGGCTAATATGTACTAAGCTATTTATTAAGCTAATCAGAGCTGAGCATTGATTAATACATTTAAGATGTACCTAAACCCTAGGGATACAAAATAGGCTCTCTGCCTTTGCATCAGGTACCCCCATGCCTAGAATGCACTCCCTCTTTACCTCTGCCTTGTAGAGTTCCTAGGTTAAGCCTCAGTTTAGGTATCACCTCCTAAACAAGTCTTGTTCTGATCCTCTCAATTGATAGTGCCCCACTGAAATTATATGTATTTTATGTTTGCTGGTCTACATATAGTTTCCCTCCCCTTTAGCCCACCCTACCCCTCCATATAATGTAAGCTCCTTGAGGGTAGGGACTGCTTTGTTTTTGTCTATTTACCCTCCCAGTGCCTGGCACATGGGTACTTGACAGATGAAAGATTGACTTAGAAGTCTTCTGAAAGCAATCCCTTGCCCACTGAGTACTAACATTCACCTCCTTCCTTCCAACTTGTGCCACTCATAGCCAAAACTCCAACAACAGCTGAGACTCAGCTGTACTCAACCTCCACTAATTCTGATGAACTGAAATGTCAGAAGGCTTGCGCTTAGTGCAACCACAGAAAAAAGAGTCCGTAGTAGAGAGATCTTCCCTTAAAAGTTGCAAAGGACATGACAAAATTTTGCTCTCGCTCATGGAAAACACATGGAATTTATCCAGGCTCACTGCGTACTTATTCTCATGGGAAAAATAAACATGTACAGCAACCTAGATCCCATCAGGCAGATACAGTCAGTTACTCAAGGGTTACTGGACTCCTTTTTGGCCCTCTGATCCAAGAAACTGCCCTCTGGTTTTCCCAAGATGGGTCTATTTTTCTCACAATAATGACATTCACAAAAATCTTTTTAATTCATGGATTTAGAGCCAAAAAAACCTTAGAGGTTATCTAATCCAGCCCTTTCTCATTTTACAGAGGACCAAGCTGAAAGCCAGGGAGATTAAGTGCTATTCTTGAGGCCACACAGGTAACTGGAATTTAAGCCAAGACCTTCAACACCAAATCTAATTATATTGTCATACAGAAGTGGCTGGCTGGCCATTTTTATCTTTTGACATAGTTGGAGGGGAGGGGAGCAAGGGAAAGATAAGGGTGGGGAAAGAATGAATATGATTTAGCAATCAGTAACTGGAGGAGTTGTGGAATCTTCTATAGAAAATAGTAAATATAGAATAACTTCCCTTTCTGGAATGACTTAAGTGTGAAACTTCCTAAAAGAAGTGAGCTGTATTAGCTGACCTTTAAAAGTCTCTTCTAGCTGTAACTCTCTGGAATCTAGTTGTTAGAAGCATTTGATTCTTGCTCTGCCTGCTGAGTGCTATGCACAGCACATGAGCACATGCTATCGTTTCTGCAGCAGTGTCCATTAGTGATGGGATAGATTTGAGAGCTTCATCCACAGAAATTTAGATAGATTACTATGTATCTGGCCTTGAATTTAAAATTAGAAACTACTTCCTTTAGTAACAGGGCGTAATACGTGACTATTCCATGTGTCACTGTGGAATTTGGATTGTGTAATTAGACTCTAGAACTTTTCCAAAATTTCTCCCTGTGTCCTACAGTGTGAGAAAGAACACTTAGATGCTATTTTGATACAAGTCTAAGTTTATCAGGGTAGACAAGAGCTTTTACGAAACTGAATTTCCATGAAGATGGCTACACAAAATGCTATGGCATTGGTAGGAACTGAGCTGTGGAAGACTGTCAAATCATATTTAGGCCACTCTCTTCACTCTGAAGAACTATATTTTTAAAAAAAATTTTTTTTTTTAGGCAATTGGGGTTAAGTGACTTCCACAGGGTCACACAGCTACTAAGTGTCAAGTGTTTGGTCTGAGGCGATTTGAACTCAGTACTCCTGACTTCAGACCAGTGCTCTATCCGCTGCACCACCTAGCTGCACCTGAAGAACTATATTATTAAGGACATATAGTAATGACCCAGTAAGTCAACTGAAGCAACAAGGCCCTTGTTTGTGGGCATTGTAAATAATCAATTCAAATTAGAAATGAGATCAATCAGTAATCAACAAGCATTTGTTAAGCTACTATTATATTCCAGACAATAGATTATGGAGAACAAAGACTAGAACTGAAACATTTTCTACTCTTAAAGCATTTACATTTATAGGTGCCATTAATTAAGGAATCAAAGGGACTGTGGGAAGGAAACATTTCAGTGGGCTTCCCCAGTAGGCATAGGCTGTGAAAGTATATTGCTTCAAATTCTGGGCAATGTGGTGTTTTATTCCTAGAAAGTCATCTATCTACTTGCCATATCTGTCTTTGCTCCTAAACAGAATAGATAGAAATTTGTTGAGGGCCAGAGCTGGAGAGTCTAATATGGGGTAAGGAATTTAGGTTAGAGCTTGACTCTTTCCTTATCCTACTCTTAAGGGCTTATCTATTCAGAATATTTAGCTCCCCAATTTCCCCCTGCCCAGAAGGTCTTAGAATACTCTGCCCCTTTAACCTTGTTGGCAAGCAGGTGTGAAAAATTAAGGATGTACATAAAGGCTGGGGTTAGTCACTTAAGAATAGCTAGAACACCCTTGAGATGATTGTTAGGTCTCACTATATAATCCAGACTCTCAGAATAATAAATTGGTTCAGTCTTTCACTGACCCACCTGGCCCTCATCTCTTTATTTCACATTCCTCCATTTGCTGCAACACTTAGTCGCAGGCAACAGAAATCGGGGAGCCTGGGAATATCCAGCCTCAAAATTTCCTGGCATTCAATGACTAGAATTCACCTTTCCAGGAATGTTATATTAGGAGGAGATAGGAAGAGCCACTTTGATTGTAAGTTCCATGAGACAGGCACTATTTATTGAAATTGTTTTGCCCTGAGCATCTTACACAGTTGTCTGCACATAAGAGATGCCTAATGTTGGTTAAATTAAAATACTTTAGTAATTTCTGGGGGCCAATCAGGGTCACCAGTTTTGCTAAATACAGTTAATAGTGTTACTTTTATCCTTCTGCTAATCCCAATTTTCAATTATACTGGTTTTGTCTAGCTTGTCTGCCTGTACTTTTCCACTGCTCTGCTGGTGAATTTATGTAATCTCAGAACCTAAGGGGATGCATTACCAAAAAAGCTATGTTTCATTTTCAGCAGGTATAGAATCATCCCTTTGAGCTGCTCCTTGCTTGTTGTGAGGCATTAATGAGGCTTGGTGATGGTTGGTGAATGTTCTGCAGAGTGATAAAGGAAGCCACCCAAGGCTGCAACTGCCACAGCTGTTTTGTGGGAAGAACACCCATCTGGAGAGAAAGAATAATGTTAGGCTGCCCATCAGATATGCTTTTCATTGCTTCTGAGGGTTGCCACAGATCCCCACCTTGATGTTATCACTTATTTGTTCAGCCTTAGGCATGGACCTTTAGCTCATATGTTAATCTGATAAAATTATTTAGTAAAGTTGTTAAACATCTCAAATGGTGTCACCCACATTGTTTTATTCCTTTTAAACACCCCTAGTAAATGTGAGTGAGTCATGACTGTTTCCCCATTTCACAGAAGTGAAGAGAAAGGACCTGACTCAGACACACAGAATGAAGGTTGCCTTCCTTCTCACTCCTTGTCCCTGTGTCCTTTCTTTTGTTGTCACCAAGCTAAATGAGCTTCTGTTTTTTAAAGATGCATGGTCTTGAAAGGTTCTGGATTTGGTTCACTTTGTTAATGCATCCGACCTTGCAGGAGAGTCCCAGGATTACTAGTCTGCCTTAAGGAAATAGCTGCCTCCCACAACTAAATAAGATCATATCTCTCCAGCAGGTAGGAGGAATTAGTTCTTAATTGGTAATCAGTATTTGGCAGGTACTACTAGCACTGATAAAGAAAAGTCTGAGGGCCTTGTGATGGCTTCCCCATTGCTAAAACCTATAAAATTGTTTCAGTCTCCTTTCTTATCACCACTTGCAGGTGGAGATGTTGATGAGAAGCTAAATAGCTAAAAGAGAGAAGGAGAGAATGGAAGGGTTTGGCTAATCACACCCTAGGTAACTGAGAGTAAAATGTACATTGACATGGTAGGAGAATACCCAGAATGGATCTATCTTGCTCTCTGCTTGCCCCTTAAACTTAGGGAGGCATTCTTAAGAAAAGAAAAATAAATAAACTAAATTCCACCTAAAATATGAAAAACAAGAAATTGCAGCAAGTCTTTCTATCAACTCTGATATCACTAACCCACTTTTTCTTTCTGTAACCCCAAATTAACATCTCCTTTTAGTCTTCTGGACCACCTGACATGAGTGAAGGAAGCCAGGGCTCTTCCCTAGAAATATTTTCTTTTTCCTGAAGAATATAATCCCAATGTGCATTTTCAGAAGAGCAAATGCAATTTATGCCTATTAAATTGTCATGTATTTCTGTTAGTAAAATATAGGGCATCTCTGCAGAGGATAATGTGTGTATAGGGAGAGGTGACTAAGTATAGTGCCAGGCTTTTCTCATTTGTCTTCTGGGCACTGGAAAGACATCCCATTAGCTTTTGATGGTTTTACCTGAAAATCCTTTCTCTCTCCTCTTAACTCTTCTCAATGATTGCTGTTGGTCTTCACCAACTATGGGTAATTGTTTTCTATTGTCATCTGGGGACAGAAAAAAAATAGAGAGGAGCATCAGGTGAAACTCTTTCAACTGAGTTTTCACAAATGTCTCCTGCCATCCCCCATCCTCATTTCCAACAACCCTATCCTGTTGTGGGAGATTTCTAGAACCTGAAGGTGCTGAGTTTGTGGTTTCTCTCACTCCTGACTGTGTATGCCAAGTGCTTTAGAAATGGGAGTTATCATTATGTTTATTCCATCAATTCTAGAGTTCCTGCTACTTCTCTCATAAGATCTCTTTCTTGCAAACTTCTCTTAGATGCCCAAATCCTTTTTTAGGACCCTGAAGGCAAATGATCTCAACTTAGAAACCCCATTGCAAGGCCTTTAGCTCAGTTCTTTTGCTTTCCTGCCAGTGCTCTGTACCGCTCCTCTCTTTTTATATTGTGTCTCTTCTGTTCCTTGGATGGAGACCATGAACATTAAGAGCAGTGACAGTACATTCCTAGCATTCAGTAAAATTCCCTCCATTGAATATTATCAGTGCTTGGGAAAATGGTTTTTCATCTTTGCAAAATCTCCAATGAGTTGCTAATGCATTTTCTTCTGATGGGACATGGAAGATTGCATTTTCATCTTGTCTAGCTCCTCAACTTCCCTACTACCAAAGTAGTCACCTATACTCACAAGGCTTCCCAAAGCATCCCTCCTTAGGTTTCTGCCAGGTAAGAATAGCCTGTAGCCATCTAGGCTTGTAGAAATCTGAGTATCCAGAAAGTCCACAGAACATGACTGAGGAAAAGAACATGAAATTAATTGTCTTGTCAAATATCCTGGGTGCCTTTGGCAGTCTTCCCCACCTCTTTTCCCATTGTTATGCCTGCTATATCCTCAGGGGTCAGTACAAACCTGAGCAGAGTTGAGGATATTGAGCCACTGGAACTCTTGGCTGATAGGGAAGAGTAAAACTGCATCTTTGATATAGGAACAGGAGGCAGAATCTAGTTCATCTTTGATTTTAGCATCATCTCAAACATTGAGAGCTTCAATGAATGTTGGATAAAGTCATGGGGTTTTGGGGAGATTAAAATTTTTTATAAGATTTGGGCTTCCAAACTAAAGAACAATTCCAGCTTACTTTATCCCTGACCCAAAGAGCAGGGACTGATGTCCCTCAGTCACTCAAGAGTTGACACTCTGCATTTTAGGGAAAAGGGGAATTGTTGTACAAAAAGGAAGTCAGAACTGTCATCAAAAATGTGTGTGTGTGTGTGTGTGTGTGTGTGTGTGTGTGTGAGAGAGAGAGAGAGAAGAGAAGAGAAGGATTATATATACTTATCTGGAGAATGGAAAGCAATTCGTACTATTTTCCATAAAGAGATCTCGATCTAGAAATGGGAATCCAACTTCTTCAGTTTTCAAATTCAATGCCATCATATTAGCACAGAAAATTTCCATGTAGTATTTGGATTGGAGGAACAGGCCAGCTGAGCATCCTTTCTAGGGACCAGAACACCAGAGAGCACTGAATTTCATTTTGGTGGAAGGAAGGAGTAGCAATTGTTAAGAGAGAAATGTATGATTTTGAAATGGACCTCAGAAATTGTCAGTGTATGTAAAATGAGGGCTTTTGCCAGGATTCTTTCTGCATGAAGTCCTGCAACATGTGTAATTGGGACTCTTACCTGTAGTTCTTTCTAGAACTCACCCTGTTTTTTGTCTTCAGGAACAGCATCTATAGTAGGTTCTGAGAGACCAGGGGTCCAAAGATCCAGATGTCATCTACTCACCTACTCATTTTGATTCTTATCACATATAAATATTGAGTCTTTCCTATGCCAAGGGAGTTCCTGAATTTTAAAAAGTGTTTTGAAATATTGAACTGAACTCTTAGAGACAACTTTCCCCCCTTCCAATTTTGGATCGGAAGCATCTGACAGAAATTCAACTAGGCAGGGGATATAAGTAGACCTTTTTTTTACTTCTAGTCACAAAAATCATGCAGAGAATCTTTCTGACAAGTGAAGATACAAATAATTAGGAATTAGAGTACAATTTCAATCTGAAATCTGTAGGTGAGTAGTCAGTAAGAGCAATGTGCCTTGAAGATCAGGGGGGAAAGCCATGGGCAACAGGCTATGTCCCAAAGAAAAACAGCCTATTTTTCAGGTCTTTGATTTTGGCTCCAATAAAACATTGTCATATATATGGTGGTAGCTGGATGGCCTCCTGCTCAACACTATTTAAATTTGGTGCTATCTGGAATTCTAGAGCAATCTTCTAGTCCACAAAATAGTCACTTACCATTTTGGCAATCAGGAAATAGAGGAGCTGGTGTGACAGTGTATAGCCCATGCAGCCAGGCTTAGTCATGAGTTCCCTGCAGATGTCAGTGACGGTACAGGGCTGCAAGCCCTCCTTCCTGAGGAGCAAGCAGTCCCAGGTTGTTATTTGGATAAAACAATGAATGAAGGTCAGGAGAACTGTAGGCCTGGTGACACTGACACAGGTACTTATTGCCTTTCGGAGAATTGGTCTTGAGCTTCAAAAGTATATAGAAATGGGAGGAATTTCTGTGAGGAGTGTTTGTATATTATCAGTGGGGCAGCTGGTGGTACTTTTCTATTGGGGAAGAAAGAAAAAGGGTAATTAAACTCACTTGGTTCCTAGTAAGAGGGCCATGCATGAATCACTTAATTCTTCTGAAAAAAAATCTGAGTTGTCAAACTTGAAGTAGATGATGGAGGTGTTTGTTTGACTCCATGAATGAGGGAGATTCCAAAACCCTGGCTGTAGAGTCTCTTGAAATTCTGTCAGAGTGAAGTTGACCAGTAACACAGTAAGAGAAAGCAATTTTACATAAATCTGATACCAGATTTCCATCCTACTGATGCCTGAACATTCATAACCCATGCCCAAATTTCTTGTGTCTCATAAACATATGGCTAGGGTCTTGTGACCTTCACCAACCACTTGAGAACTGGAGTTGAAATGATTTAGGAAATATATTCTCACCAACAGGAAGAGACCCTTACTGTCAGTCAGTCAAATAAATATTTATTGAGTGCTGTCCCAAGCACTGGGGATACAAAGAAAGGTGAAAGACAATCCTGGTCCTGGAGGAACTCACAATAAACCCCAAAGAAGAGCATTACTGATGGATGATACTTAATTTTCTCTAAAGGATGAATAAACAAGTGCTTCTGGTTTGGTTAGAAAGTGAGGGAGTCTTATAAGACCTAGCCACAATTAGAGTATCTATACAGAATGACATACAATGACATGTCATTTAAAGATAAGCTTCTACTGTGGCACCATTTCTCCAGGTAGAGAGACCTGGAAATGCCAGAGGGAGCTTTTTGGAGTCAGAAAGGACTGTGAAAGGAGACACTTTCTGCTAATTCCTCTCAGTTGAGCTCCTGTGTGCTTTGTAAGGAGGCTGGATGGCAATTTGTCTACTCAACCCCCTAGGTTTGCCAGAATCATTCAAACAAGAGAGAGTAGTTTCCCTAGCAAATAAACCTCCTGACTTGCACAATATTTACCTTTGAAGTACTTAGAGTCACTGAGCTTGAGGTAGATTGTGGCTCTGGTGATGAGTGGTAACAATTTCTTCACTATCTTCTCTACCCTCAGGCTCAGGGGCTTCAGGGCAGGCTCCTGGCCCCATTTCTCCAAGACACCTTTTAGTTGTACTGTGAAGGAACATGACAGGCCTGTGAATCAGGTCTAGACCCATTGGTGTGCTTTGGCTCCTCTTATTCAGAGAAATGTGTCTGAATCTCATCCCTGTGCATTATTTAGGCAGAGGCTACTGCCCCCAAATCCTGCTATCATTGTTCCAGTTCTTTCTACCAACAATGAGGTACTACTACTCCCTACCCCTCTTTATAGGTGGAACTGGGATTGGAAGAACTGGGGGACTGGAAACAAGGTAGCTTCAGCCCTTAATTTTCTCTGCTATGAGCCAAGGCAAATCTCTTTCTGAACTCTACCCATTTTCCTCAAGATTAAGTCCCCTTCTCTCTTCACTGAGGTGTTCTGGGAATGAATGAAGTCATTAAAGGGAATCATATGTATGGAATTTTGTAGTTTGTGGAGGATTAGATCTCTAGAAAGTTGAAGAATGAAATGGCCATAGTAGAAGAGCTCAACTAAATTCTGCCTGAGGCTACATTAAAAGAAAAAAATCGAAGGGTCTAGAATAATTGTTGTGTGTCCCAGAGGAGTAGGGAAAATGGTGATAGGTATTTCCCAGGGTTGCAATTTTTTCCTTTCTCCTCTTAGTCATTAACATGGTCAAAAAATATCTACTATCCTCCCACCTTTCTCAGTAAGAATTAGAGATGAGCACTTTCCCCTTCATCCCAGGGTCCCAATACTAGGGTCATTTTCTTGCTAATCTTTTGGGTTTGGGATAGTAGGTGAGAAGAGCCTGCTGGGGAAAAAAAATTAATTGTACATAGTATGGCCCAAATCCAGACCCCATGGATATAAGCAAATCTGCTTCAAACCCTAGCAACATCATCTCCTAGGATTTTCTGGCACCGCAAATTCCAGTTGCAGGAAGGCTGAGCTGGCAGCCAACATGGAATAGGATTAAGAAGGGCTCCCATTACCTCCAGTGGGAGGATTACTTTTGTAGGTAGAAGCCTAATGGAAACAATCCTATACCAAGATCTTAAGACCCAGGCTGTTTTCTCCCTTAAGGATAGTTATTACTATTCTAAAGGGGGATGACTGACCCCACACCAGAGTGGAGTTTTCTCTCTGTTTGGCTTGGCCTTTCTCAAATACATTATCATCAGACTACTTTCCCCTTCCAAAGCTGAACAAACACTTCATCCACTTTCCCAAAACCTCTAAATGTCTTTGGTTACAATACATTGTGAGCTGAGGTAAGAATAGAGGAATAGTTTGTCCACAGGAAATCCAGAGAACTAAGAGAAATGTTTTTATTATACTCTCTGTTAAGCAAGAATCTTATCTCCTAACTTGTTGGTACAATGAGAAAAGAAAATGAGTCATAGAGACTGTTTGCTTTGGTTTGGGAAACTGGTCTACAGCATTCTTTAGAAACCTATGCCTCCAAAATTTTTTCTTCATTGTTTAACATAATTCTTTTTACTTCTAAAAACCCAGGAGGTACAAGGCAAGGGTATCCTCCAGGCAGTCAGAGGCCAAATGAGAAAAAAAAAATCCGTACTCTTCCTAATTACCAAAACATAAAGTTCAGCTTCAGCTAATCTCCCATGCCTGACATTAGCATATGAGTAAAAACAATCTTCATTGTTAGCCTGTGGAAGAGAGGAAGTCACACTACCTTCTAGTACCCAGAATCCCATCACTCCATCCAGGTTAAGCTCCCTGAATCTCTTCTCCATGAACGATGTGGCTTTCTCCAGGGCAGGAAGGATCATCCTCCCCATGGCCACCTTGTTCTCTGAGAGGTCCTGTTGTTGGAGAGATAGGGGTGGCAACAGCAACGGCAGCAGCAGCAGCCCCAGTAGGTACATATCTTAGTCCCCTACACTCAGTCAAATGTTCACAGCAGCTCCTGTACTAGGTGCCTCACGTGCTCTCCACCCTCCTTCCGCCTCTTCCTTCTGACTGGACAAAAGGAGTAACAAAGACGTTTATGATTAGAAACAAGCATATAAGTAAGTGCCCACAGAAGGGTCACTCTGCACTCTAGAGCTGCTGATTTGGCACTGGTCCTGAATAGTGGGTAAAGGTCTATGCAAAAGGTATGCTTTGCTCATAATTTGGAACCCCTGGGGGGCTCAGTGTGACTGGCTTAAGTGGTAGCTGAGGTTAGTAGCTCAAGAATACATTTCTACCAAATAGTTTAGAAATCCTTAGGTACAGCATTTATTTTTTAAATTAATTTATTAATTTTTAGTTTTCAACAATCACTTCCACAAACTTTCGAGTTTTAAATTTTCTCCCTCTCTCACCCCACCTCCCTCCCCAAGACAGTATGCAATCTGAAATAGGCTCTATATATACATTCCTATTAAACATATTTTCATGTTAGTCATGTTGTAAAGAAGAATTAGAACCAAAGAGGAACCACAAGAAAGAAGTAACAAAACAAAACAGAAGAAGGAAAAAAAAAACAAATTATATGCTTTGATCTGTATTCAAACTCCGTAGTTCTTTCTCTGGATGTGGATAGCATTTTCCATCATTAGAGTTGGAGATGTCTTAGATCTTTGCATTGCTGAAAAGAGCGAAGTCTATCAAAGTTAGTCATCACACAGCGTGGCTGTTATCGTGTACAGCGTTCTCCTGGTTTTGCTCACTTCACTCAGCATTAGTTCATACAAGTCTTTCCAGGTTTTTCTGAAGTCCACTTGCTCATCATTTCTTATAGCACAATAGTATTCCATTACATTCATATACTACAACTTGTTCAGCCATTCTCCAATTAATGGGCAATTGCTCAATTTTCAATTTTTTGCCACCACAGAAAGAGCTGCTATAAATATTTTTGTATATGTGGGTCCTTTTCCCATTTGTATGATCTCTTCCAGATACAGCCCTAGAAGTGCTGTTGCTGAGTCAAAGGATATGCACATTTCTATACTGGGCATAGTTTCAAATTGCTCTCCAAAACGGTTAGATCATTTCACAACTCCACTAACAATGCATTAGTGTTCCAATTTCCCCACATCTTCTCCAACATTTATCATTTTCCTGTTTTGTCATGTTAGCCAATCTGATAGGTGTGATCTGGTTAGGTACAACATTTAGAACAGAGTAGGAACAAAAGGCTCATTTTTCTTTTCAGTATCCAAGCTCTCTAAGACTTTTCTGACTGGATGATTTCAAGGGTTGTTTCCAGCTCTAAATCCTATGATCTTTCACACCTGTAGCCCGCAAACATGCCTGCTGTTTGCCACAAGTCTCAGTTATCAACTTTACAAGATGTCTCCCAAGTCTGTACATAGTGTCTCTATCTAGATTCACAATGAAATCTCAAACTCAACTCAGAACCAAAATTTAACTCCTCCTCTTCCCCTAGATACTAAATTTGCTACTCCTTTAAACTTCCCTCTTTCTGTTGAGGGTACAATCATTCTCCTAGTCATCCAAGTCACAATTTTGGAGTCATCTCTGACCCTAGCTTCTCTTTCACCAACTATTTCCAATCAATTGTCAAATCATGTAATTTCTACCTTCAAAATATTTCTCATCCCCATCTGCTCTCAATTCTTGTGGTCACTTCAAGCTTTATTCAACTCTTGCAACATCTCCTAATTGGTCTTCCTACTTCGAAGCTCCCTTCTCTATCTTCCACACGACTATTAAAATAATTTTCCTAAGGCACCTGTCTGACTATATCTCCTTAGCTCAAGAATCTTGTTTCATTTTGGCTCTAGAATAAAATCCGAAGTACTCAGCCTGTCATTTAGAACATTTCAAATTCTATCTCTAGCTTACCTGTCTTAAAAAAAAAAAACCTCTGCCCAATTAAAAAGCATTTATTTTTTTTCTCTTCCCCACCTCCTCTTCCAGTTGAAAAACTAGATAAACAAAGCCCTTGTAACAAATACACATAGTTATGCAAAACAAATTCTCACATTGGCCATGCCTAAAAAATGTGTCTCATTCTGCATCTTGAAGTCATTACCTCTTTTAGGAGGGGAGCAGCATGGAATCACAATTAGTCAACTCATTGATTCCAATTCTTACATCTTTCAAGATTTTCTTTACAATTTTGTTATTGTACAAATTGTTCTCCTGGTTCTTCTCACTTCATCATGTCATACCAATCCTTCCAGGTTTCTTTGAAACCATTCCCCTTTTTTATAGCACAACAATATCTCATTATTCATATACCATAATTTGTTTAGTCATTCTCCACATGGATGGGCACCCCCTTCATTTCCAATTCTTTGCTTCAACTAAAAGAGCTGCTACAAAACACTTTGTGTGTATGGGTTGTTTCTGTCTTTCTTTGATCTCTTTAGGGGAATAGGCCTAGTAGTGGTATCACTGGACCCAAGGGCATATACAATTTAATGACTTTTGTAGCTCCAAATTGCTTTCCAGAATGACCAGACCAATTCAGTTTCAACAACATTGCATCAATGTTTTTCTTTTCCCATAGCCCCTCCAACATCTCATTTTCCTATTTTGTCATCTTAGTCAATCTGATGGCTATGAGATAGAACCTCAGAGTTGCTTTAATTTGAAATTTTCTAATTATTAGTCTTTTGGAGGATTTTTTTTTTCATTTGTCTGGCTGACCTTTCCAGGCCAATTTCTCATTACTTTCCACATTCTACTCAAATTGGCAAACTTGCTGTTTTCTGACCGGAGTGTTCCATTTTTAGTTTTCATGCCTTCCAAAAAGCTTTCCCACATGCTGGTTAAGCACTGTATTGGCAGTGTTAAGGAGATTAGGGAGCTGGGAAGGAATGTCTGCTAGTTCAGGCAATATCTTCCCTCTTTGATCCCTGTGGAGTTGCCCTGACTTTGGCCAGACTTTGACTGACAAAGCTAGTTCCTACTTTTCTGAGGCAGGGAAAGGACAAAAGTCGGTGGAGGAGCACCAGTGTAGAGAGAGAGAAGCTGCTGCCACCGATGGCAAATACACTGGGGACTGAGAGAGTGCCCTGGAAAACTGTGGTGGGAGTGTGCCAGCCATGAGATCCTGAACATTTGACTACACGATAGAAGCTGTGTATGAGAGTTAGGCCTGAGTAGTATAGCGGCAATGCTGGGTTACTAGACCTGTTAGGACTGCTGAGACCAGAAACCTTACTCTTATCCTTCCTAGGAGATATGTGCTTATTCTCTGAATCCCTGTTTCTTAGGAATTTGTTTCTGTTTACTTTTTGCGTTTTAAGTATTATGAATATGGTTGACCTTTGAACTATGGATATGTTGCAGCAAGGTGCCCTGAGGGTGCTTTGAGACAGGAGACAGCGTTGGTGCCAGGTGGACCAAGCCACCACACCACCCCCTTCACCACCACTTTCCCTTAGAACTCAGTGGTGATGGCCCAGGACCTTTGACTCAAGGGTCTTAAGGAACAGACATGCCCTTCAGTCCACCAGGTCAGATTCTATACCAGCCCCAAGCAGTCAACCAGGGAAGGAACCTTTATGCAGATGATGCTAGCTGCTGCCTTTGAAGATGCTAAAGCTCATGTCTCCTCAGCATCCACAACTCCTGAAAATGCAGAAAAGAATGTTCTTAATATAAAAATCCTTGATATGAGCACATCAGTTGGCATAACAAACACATACATGGTTTTTAATAAAGGAAATTACACCAAAGCAGGTACATTAGAACCACTGGGCCTTTGCAACTGACTTTCAGCTAAAAATGGCTATACATACATATATATACATATGTGGGTGTGTGTATTTGTGCATGTGCATGTATACACACATACATATAATTAGAATGTCAATTCCTTGAGAGAAGAGGCTGACTTGCTTTTCTTTCTGTATCCCTGGTGCTTAGCAGAGTGCTTTGGCCATAGTAAGTGATCAGGAAATGCTTTTTAGAGGTAGCTAGGTAGGGCAGTAGATAGAGTGCTGGACTAGTCAGGAAGTCCTCAGTTCAAATTCAACCTCAGAACTATATGACCTTGGGAAAAACATTTAATGTCTGCCTCAGTTTTCTTACCTTGTAAAATGGAGAGAATAGTGTCTACCTCCCAGGGTTGTTGTGAGGATAAAATGAAATTCTAGCTTTTATAATTCTGTTTGTTCATCCATTCAGCTATCTATCCATCTTGGGTATTTCCTGTATAAGATTTTGGTGTGAACTAAAGGTTCAATAGATTCAATTTTATAACTTCTTAGAACAGAGACAAACTTAGATCTAGATCTTTTTAGACAAATGAGTCAGCAGCTTTGACTGGAGGAGGAACTGGATGGGTACGGGAGAGACGAGACCTTGGTCACCATGGTCCCCTTCCCATTACTTTCCCACAGCTGGTTTGAAAGGAAAATCAGTCCTCTACACTGGGGTGGAAGGAGCAACTGCACACATAAGAGGACAGGTCAGTGAAAACAAATGGACAAACTTCTTGCTACTCCACTCCAGCTCACAAGTGCACTCAATGCATAGCATCCCCCTCCCCACTTCCTGATTTGGAGTGCATTCCATCCTCTCTTCAGTTTCTTTTATTCCCCAGTTTCCTTCAAAGCTTGAATTCAGGTGCCACCTCTTTTGAACAACCTTTCCTGATACCCCTAATTGTTAGTGCTCACGCCTGCCTCAAACCTATCTTATATTAACTTTACTGAGTAAATATTTCCTTCTTCTCTCTCCCCTCCTTGAAATCAAAACTTTTTAAAAATTTTTTTTATTAATTTATTTAAATTTATCAACAGTGACTTCCATAAGCTTTTGAGTTTTAAATTTTTCTCTCCCTCCCTCTCTACCTCCCTCCCCAAGACAGTGTGCAATCTAATATAGGCTATATATATATACATTCCTATTAAATATATTTTCACATTAGTCATATTGTTAGTGAGAATTAGAACTAATAGGAGGAACCACCAGAAAGAGGAAACAGAACACAACAGAAGAAAAAAATAGCAAATAGTGTGCTATGATCTACATTCAAACTCCATAGTTCTTTC